ATTAAGAATAGACTTGTGTCGCTGAAGTTTCGTCGGAACGAAGTTACGGAAAATTAACTAACGAACGGAGACGTAACAATAAGTAAATGTTGAAATAGTGATAGTTGTTGTAACTAATTCTAAGAGACAATGAAAATGTCATGTACCCCAATTAGCTGATTTCAGCTATCACCACTTGTTTATTTACCAGTCACTTTACTAGAAGGTTCTGGAGAAAAAGTTTGTTTTTTTTGTTTTTTTTTGTCTAAATTATCATGCTCTTTGCCTCTTACTTTGATCATTAACAAATAAAAAAATTTTCTTTGCACATAGTTTTTAGTTACGATTGCGTTTATTTACATTTTAGTTTGGCTTTTTATTCTGTTTCGTTTCATTTACTTTTATTTTTCACTAATTAATACATTTTTGTTTGACTACACATTTAATATTTTTCTTTTATCTCTTGCATTTCCATTTGAAGTAAATTTACATAAGATATACAGACCTTGCACATGCTCAAAAACATTAAATAGTCTGAAATCTTTTTTTTTTTGCAATGTTATTCGATTTTTATGTGATGTTATGTGATTTTTTTTCAGGCAAAAAGTTAAGCAGATTATGTCACGGGATGAGCAAAAATTATTTCAGTTTTATTAGTAAAGTAACTTCAAAAGTCAATCCCCCCAAACTCTTCTTTAATTAATAACACTAATACTAGACTTATATTTATGTAGAAAAGTGTGAAACTATCTAGGTACCCCCCCAGTGGCACAGCGGTGTGTATGCGGACTTACAACGCTAGAAATCTGGTTTCGATACCCATGGTGGGCAAAGCACAGATAACCCATTGTATAGCTTTGTGCTTAACTTCGAACAAACAAAAAACTATCTACGTTTATAAATTTAGTTTTATATTATAGTATTGGGTGCATTTTAATTTGTTTGTAGGTTTTGAGTGACACATGTTTAGGTGAATGGAATTTCTTTATCCTTAAAATCTAACAGTCTTAATGTAATAAGGATACTCAATTCTCGGTTTCTATTTTTGTAAAGGCAATTTAATATATGGTTGTTTGTTTTTTCATATCAAAGCCACTTCGAATTATATGTTGTGTCCACAGAGGGGAATAGAACACTTTCATTTTAGCGTTAGTAAATTCGTAGAATTACCTTTGTCCCATCTGGGGACGATAATCTAATATGCATCTTTTCCATAAACTCTTAGAAGCTTTAAAGTTCTTGTGAAATTATTACCACGAAATTAATTAATGGGCATAATTGTTGGGTCAAGCGTCTCTAATAGATCATATACAGGTAACAATTTAGTACAAGATAATTATTTGTCATTAATAAGTATATATATATTGATTTTCGTCATCTTTAAAAGATGTCCTAAAAAAGACTTTAAGTTATTATTCAGTTTCATTGCGTTTTTTTATTCTGCAGCTATTGGTGGTAACAAGGTATCATGATCATATGTGTTATTTGTTTAACGCCACTACAGTTCTATCAATGTTCTGTTGCAGAATTTCAAATATAGATATCTCTAAACATATATCAAATCAAATGTCATCACAGTTTTCTTGTAAGTTATTTAACAATATTGCTGTTTACATCGTAGTTCATATTTTATGAAATAATGTCACATATATTACCGATTGCCTATTCTTACTAGCCTATAAGTTCCATGTGATGATGTATGATATGGTGGTGTAAAATATCTGGATCGCTATAGCACATATTTGTCTGTTGTCATTATTTTGTTGGTACGATGCTTTTCAAATTACTTATATTTTATTTTATGCTTCAATACTCGGCTCATTAGTGATGATAATCTGGGTTAATTTGTCGATGTACTGTATATGCTGAAGACAAAGTGCATATGTCACAACCTTTAATTAAACAACTTTATTGTGAATGCATGTCAATAAACATGGCATCAACTTGTAACTTAGAAAATTATTGGTTAATTATTTAAGACTTAAGGAGTTATCAACTATATAAGACAATCAAATTTCGCATAGCAGTAAGATCTGTAAAGGTGTACATGTGTCATCGCATTTCACTTTCTTAGCTTGCGTCCACCGCTAGGACAGCGGTAAGTCTAGGTCTTACAACATTAAAATTCGGGGTTCGATTCCCAGCGGTAGATACGGCAGATAGTCCAATGTGGCCTTGCCCTAAAACAAACAAATCTTAGCTTGGCTTTTCATGCGAACATATGCCCCAGTGACTCTGGTTTACGTTTGACGACTTATAATGCTATGATTCAAGTTTCGATCCTTGTGGTGAATACAACGTAAATAGCCCACTGTGTAGCTCTGTTCTTAAGCCAAAATAAAGAAACAAATAATCTTAAAATGTTTTAAGTTGGGCGTAAATGTGGCGACATCTTTATAAAACAAAATATCGTGCGATATATTAACACTTCATACTACAGAGTGCTATGTATATAAACAATCAAACCATTTGGCAAATAGTTTCATAAGCGAACTTCCAAGCTGTAGTTATGGACTGCACACATTATGGATTTTTAAATCAAGAATAGAATACTCTTATTAAACAACATCTTCCTAACTTAAATAATAGCTCATCTTGTGTTCAACATGTTTAATGTTTTTTAATAACCGATTATAATTACTTACTCTTGGTCTATATCGAAGTTCATTCACTGGTTTCACACTTGGTTTTTGTTTTCCTCTATGAGTCTTAATATTTTTATGATTATGCAAACATTTCAATTCAATTTCCACGTTGGTATCAATAATTTATTTATTTTTTTTTTTTGTTAGAGTTGGGTGTGTATATTCCAAAATGCTCAGTAAATATTTATTGTTGAGTCTGTTGAGAAAAAAAAATCTCTCTTGTTATTTAGATGTTCATCGAAAAATTTTTGCAGCCATTAGGTTCTATAAATGAATTTCAATACAGATAATAAACATTTCGTTTTTAATAATATAATAACTAAGATATTGAAATAAATAATTACAGTTTTATGCTCAAGAAAAAAGCTTTAGTTGTCAGTTTAAATCAAATAGAATTTTGAAAACAATGTTATTGCTGGTGTATACTTATCTTACATTAACTAGTTCTAAATTAATTGTATTTGATATGCATGTGTGATATATGGTTTTTATAACCATGCTACATGGCTTATAAGAATAATTTCAAATCACATTCTTGTAAGAAAAATATTTTTTTATAGTAGTTAAAAGTTTTAAACGTCATTTAAATTGAAAAATTTAGTTTCTTCGTTGTTTGCAACAACAACATTGAAACATGAACTTAATTTAAAGAGCTATTGACGCAACACCTGACATAAAAATATTAATTCTATAACGTTTTTGACGCTAGGTGAAACTAAAGTATCATTAGATCAACATAACGTTGCCTTGGTAACAAGACTGACTTTCACATGACGTTCTAAATACCAGACTAATGTTTTTGGTAATTTATCCCTCTTCCTGGGCAAATGCTTATGTGCTGTAAGTTTTTAATAATTGTGCTAAAAATGTATAACTTGTATAATTACTCGTGTTTGTCATGAACTTCCAAGTTCAGCTTTTCACAGTCGTACTTGGTCATGAAGCCGTTAAAAACCACAAAGAATGGCATCAAATGTAAACACAGATGATTCTGAGGCTGGTCCGAAAGAAAATACAACTGCGGACGGAGGTGATTCGCCTGCCGGAAGTGTAGTTACTGCAAACGTTTCAGATTCTAAATGGATTCAAGTTTATGTCAATGGCGACGAACACTTCCCAGGTTTTAGGTGTTTAGTGAACAAGAAACACTACAGAAATTATGATTCACTATTAAGTTACTTGACAGAAAAACTTCAACCTAGCTTCGGGGCAGTGAGAAATATTTATACACCTGCAAATGGAACAAAGTTAGAGGAACTCAAAGATTTAAAAATGAACCATAAATATGTAGCTGCAGGCAGTGAACGATTTAAAAAGCTCGAACCTGGGTAAAAAGTTTACTTATTATTAACAATAATTTAAATATATCAAGTTACAAATTTAGTAAAGCTGTTGCTTAGTGCATTACCAAAACTAGCTAAACTCAAAATAAAAATTATTGTAACCTATAAAGTTGTAAACACTAAAACAGCAAGTTATGCTTAACCAGGTAAAGTTGTTACTCCAGATAAAGAATCTATTATTTTAATTTAATATGATATCATTTCTTCTGAATTGGGCACAACAAACAAAATTTTTAATTGTTTCTTCTATAACACATGTCCTCATAATCTATAGTTATTGCAGTGTGTTTAGCAAATGCAAGCCCAATATTATGCTTGATAATGAATCTAAGTGTAGTTACCTGTTAGTGTTATAATTATTATATAAAGAAGTACTTTAATCAGTTCCTAATCCAGCTATGAAGTGAGTATTAACTGAACTGATTTACATATGATATTGCTTGGATTTGTGAAAAAGTTAAACTTGTTGATTTATTGAGAAGCAAAAAACAGTTCAAATATCATATGTACACTTTCACTGAGGTATATTAATACTACATAGCAGTGGGCTGAGAATCTGTTTCTTTTCAGTCATCAAAAACAAGTAAAACAGTGTCAATTTTAAACTAAGGTTAGGTCAGCTCTGCTTTCTACCTTTTTAAAAGGCAGCATATAGGAACATCAACAAAATTATCGTAAAAACATGTTAAATGTTCCTATTAAGCTTAAATAACTGAATTGAAATGTTAAAAGAGTAACACACAACAGAAACTTTCTTACAAATTATCTAGCTTGTATTACCTGAACTAGGTATGTCTATAAAGTTTTATAATAGTATTATATAAAACTTTTCAAAAGCTAAGTCGTATCTGAGTAAAAAAGTAAACAATTCAAATATAAGTAAAAACAGTCAAAAAGATAAATATATTTGAAATGCTAGGTCAATAACCTGAGCTATGAATTGTAAAATGTGTGAAATTTTGAAACTACAATGATCCTTAATTTAAAATAATTAAGCTATAAAGTTTGAGGAATTGAAAAAAAGAAAAAATCAAGATCAAAGAACAAAAAAACTAGTGTGGTTAGAAAAAGCCTCCTGGTTCTTTGAAGTCACTTTACACCCACTGAACATTACAAATAAAAAAAATTATATTATTTAAATACTTATTCAAAATTCTATTGATACCCAAATGTGCATCTTGGCTTCCAGAACTTAACCATTTGCTCTTATAGTATTATTCAAGCCTATATTCCAGCCTTTCATTCCAAATCTCAAGCTTTCTTCTTTACTTCACTCAGAATTTATTGTTAAAACCAACCTGTGTTGTGAATTAAATGGAGAGAAGTCTGCTTGAGCTTGAAGCCCTGGTAGTTCAGTTGTACTCTGAAAATCAGGTCATAATTAGAGGTGATTTTAATTTCAAGCATATAGATTGGGAAATATAAGAGTAAACTCATGGGAGGATACAGGTTTTTAGAAACTGTTCAAGGTGGTTTTATTCACAAATTTGTTAGGAACCTTACTAGAATCAGTGCTATTTCAGATTTATTGTTAACTTCTAATGCAGAAATGGTTGAGAAGGTGGAGATTGAGTACAAGCAATTATTTTTCAGTTCAGTTTAGTGTTTTATTGCATATAGAGATCAGGAATAACTAGGTTTGGGTTGAAAATAAAAAAAAAAGAAATTTTGATTGGATGCAACAAGAAATATCTGTTGAATTGAGCAATTGAGTTCATTGGAGATACTGATCAAATGTAGAAAAATTTTGAAAATAAAATTTTAATTATTAAAGATGTTCCTTATAGAAAAAAAGGTGGCTGCAAGTAAAAGACCAGGTTTGCTCACAAAATGTATAAACAATAAAATTAAAGAAATACATTATAAACTTAAGAAGTTAAATTTACTGCTATGATTGGAGATTTAGATGAATATAGAAGATCAAAAGAGTTGATCAAATAGGACATTAAGAAATCTAAAAGAGTAGATGAAGAAAGGTTGGTTTAAAATGTAAAAAATTAACAGTAAGGATTTCTTTAAATACAGTAAGGGGGAAGCAAAGTGATAGGATTTAAAGTAAGCTCATTTCTGATTATTATGAAAAGGTTAGATTATGAAGTTCTAGTTCTTAAGTTTTTATTCATAAAATTGAAGCAATATTCCTTATCATGAACAATTGCTTTATTAAAATAAGATCAAAGAAGATGATCACATTAATTCTAAAATTGTTAAGAAAAAAATTGAGAAGTTTTGAAGAAGGTTAAAGATTGGATAAGTGAGCCATTTGTTACTATTTTCTTGAATAGTGGTCAAGTACCAGAGGATTAGAAGTTGGTTTATTTTTACTTCTCTTTTATGGGAGGTGATGAACATTAATCAAGTAATTATAGGCCTATTAGTATTACATTAGTGATGGGAAACATTTTTGATAAAAAAAAATTCCGAAGTCATTTAGCAATGCTTAATAATATGTTGGATAGTCAACATGCTTCCAATAGGGGAAAATCTTACCTTAATAATATTTTGATATTCTTTGAAGAGGTTACTGCTTATGTAGATGAGGGTAAGAGTATATATCTGGTGTATTTGGATTTTCAGAAAGTATTTGACAAGGTGCCATATAAAAGACTTGTTAAAATAAAAATCTCTGCAGATGTGAGGGATAAGTTGGCTCATTAGGTAGAAAAGTGGCTACTGGGTGGAAGAAACCAGAAGGTTGTTATAAATGGAGTTCAGTCAAAGTAGATTAATGTCACAAGAGGGGTACCTCAGGACTCAGAATTAGGACCTTAGCTCTTTTTGATTTACATCAGTGACATAGATGAAGGGATGGTCAATAAATTACTTAAGTTTGCTTATGATATTAAGTTCTTGGTTGTTGATGGCTACAAGAAGGAGGATGCAGTACAAAATGATTTAGATTATTTGGTGATTTGGATAGAAAAATGGCAGATGGATTTTAATTATAATAAATACAAGATAATGCATGTGGGTAACATAATTTGAATTATAAATATAATTTTGCTGGTAATAACTTCAACAATGTTATGGAAGAAAAGGATCTTGATGTTCTGGTTGATCAGTTTCTTACATCATTCAAGCAGTGCTCTGTTGCTAGTGATGTTTACATAAATATTGGATACAGGTCCAATAAGGTTATAATTTTATTGTAGAGGAGGAGGGCTACTAGGATGATACCTGGGGTGGGAAAGTTATAATATAAGGACAGATTAACATCTCTGAATTTATTTTCTCATGAAACAAGAAGAGCTAGAGAGATTCTGAATGAGGTGTTTAAGGGAAATGATAGTGTCAGTACATCATCTTTTATTGTATTTAATGGTGAGAATGGTAGGACTAGGGGATGTAAATATAAATTTGGGCAAGTTTAGTTGGCCTTTAGAATGATTTGCCTTCATATGTGGTGAATACAGTAAATTTAAGGGAGTTAAGGGAAGGCTTGATAAATATTTGAATGGTAATTCAAATTAAATTAAAAAAAAACAGTTTAGAGGGTATGATGGCCTAGATGAACCAACAGTTCCATAGTTGCCCTTAAATTTTATGTTATAACATTCAATCCTTCATCACAGTTAAATCTACTCTTACGATGGGAGACTTAGAGAATTATAGAAGATCAAGAGTATTATTAAAATAGGAAATCAAAGAGGTTATATGAAGAAAGGTTGGATGAAAATGTAAAACTGAACACTAAAGATTTCTTTAAATACATTAAGGGGAAGCAAAATAACAGGGCTTTAGAGGATTTATCAATAGTCACACCTGATTTCTTTTCATCACCAATGTATAATTGATTTGCAGTTATGAAAAATTACAAATAATTAGTATAGTCTTTAGAATATGCTTATTCAAAAGCATTATTTACCTCTCTACACCATTAAGAGCTAATGCCTCATGTACAGTTGCCATGGAATTTCTCCTGCCAATGCCACAACCCTTGAACAACACCCCCCCACACACACATATTTACATGTATTGCACCAGCCTATTGCTGCAGCCCTCCACCAGTATGAGGGTGACACATCCTCCTTACACAGTAATCCCCATGAACACTAGCACATGGTAATGGGGTCATTCTTTCCTTGAAACTGCTTGTGTCCAAATATGATTTTTCCTGTGTCTTTAGAGTTTCCTGTCACTTTGATCAAGTGCTTTTCTTTCTTTAGTGTTGCGTTACCTTTGTCCTTGCTGCATTTTCATTCCATCTACCTGATTGATATTTTGTTTTTCTATACCCACCATGTTTCTTCTTTCTACTATATATGCTAATAAATAAAAAAATAAAACAGGAAAACAAACAAATCCATTTTACTATGAATTCTCAAATCCTTGTTGCTTCTAAATCCCAATGCCTGGATGTTCCTAGTCAGGTATCTTCTACATCTTTATCAATGGAAACTGGAGGCATGTTATCTGTTCATGATATTACTGTCATTGTGCATCAGATGTCTGATTCCCTTCTGCCTGCCTGTTCACCAGTTCAGGTCCCTTGTTGTTCTGTTTCATTACCTTCTTTGGAACCTTCCTCACCTGTGGAATATCCTGACCAGCTTTTTCCACCTCTAGACGTTGTTTCTGGTTATTCTCTTCTTCATGAGAAACAGGAACCTCCCCCTCCTTTGTCTGCTGTGCTTGTTACTCAGGTATTTGACATTCTTTCTCTTTCTTTAGTGAATCCTTTTGACTATTGGGTCCCTTTACTTAATGAACCTCCCTCTGCTGACTTTATTTTTCTCCCTTCCCAAAACATTTGTACCCATGCTGATGCTTTTTATCCCAATTTCTCATTGGTAAATGTTTTACTTGTCCTCCTCATCTTTACATCTCCTTTTCTATGGCCTGTGGTCATGACCTTTTTATATTTCTTAAACTCCAGTCTCTTGAGTCCCTCTTCTCTGCCTGGTTTTCCTCTTTTTTACTTCTTTGTTTCTTTCTTAACAGCAACCTACTCTTCTGAATCTTATCTTTACTCAAATTCTTCTCTATATCTCTACTCTTCACCTTACAATTGAGGCTCTCCATTGCGATCCAAATAGTTTTGTAAAGGACATAGGGGATAATCTTACTTATTTGTTTGCCATTTTGGCTTCCATTTATTCCTCTACTGACTCTATTTTGACTTAGTTTCCTTGTTTTGGGATGTTTTCCTTTTTGGTGTCCACCTCCCTTCCTCCTACCTGTGACTTTCATCTTGTCCATTTTCTTAGAGACCAAGTCTTTGGGGATGTTCCCAACTATTTGGAATCCTGGGCTGAGGCTGCTTTCCAGCAATCTTCTACTATTTTGCTAGACCATGAGTACCTTGGCAGTTGCATTGAACTAACCCATCTCCTGTTCATAATCCAATCATTTCTGTTTGATGTCCTCTCTCCTACAGAGCAGGAAGTTGCAGCTCTTGGCAGTTATTCATCTTTAGAGCCAATTCTCTGGACTTATCAATGCCCACCTGTGGTCTTCCTTCACTAGTGGTTTTGGGTTGTGCAAGTTCTTTGTCATGACTAGGCTCTACACTTTCATATTCCACCTGCTCTTTCTCCTCATCTTCTACCATATTCTCCTACCACTGATCCTCTGTGTATTCAAAATCTTCAGGACACAGTGACCTCTTTGTTGGCAGTGGATGCTAGAAAACCTGTATCAGGACCTCTGCTTTCTCATCCTGGAATTCCTTTATTGGGCTAGCGATTATCAAATTCACATAGTGGCATGTTATGCCCCAGGGGTTTTGACTTTGGTGGGAAATGCTTATCTCAAGCAAACAGGATCCACCCCATAGAGAGATCCTTCCCTCCCTCAGTCTTCCAGTGGATTTGTTTCCATTTCATAACCCCTCTGATGAATGGTTTTGTGACTTCTCTCAAGTCCAAGCTTCCCCTCACCAATCCTAGACTCAACTATTCTGACTGTCAATGCTCTGAGCCAGGACTAGTCCAGTCTCTTTCTTTATGCCTGTCCTCCTTTTTTCTTTCTTTCCCAGGTACTCTCTATGATTTGTGATGCTTTTTGCTGGGTTCTTCTGATTCCTTTTCTTTGGCTGGCTCAGTTGTGGTTTCCACTACTGTACTGCTTGTTGCCTGGAGAACAACTTCTTCCCATCTCTCTTTGTAAGTCCCTCCTCCACCAACCTTGAATGTCTGTTGTTTACGACATGGTGTTTGGGTGTACTCCCTTCTTTCTCTCTCTCTCTATACCAATGTAAGTGGGCTGTTTTCCACTGCATGTCCCTCTGTCACTCTCTTCTTATTCCTTATATCATTTGTCCCTGAAATATATTTTCTCCTTCAACTTGCTCATGATTGTTATCATTTGAACATTTATACTTTAGATGCCTCCCATACTCTTGTATCATAGGGACTAGTTGACATTATTCCCTGACTGTTCCTTTCATCTGAAGACTATAGCTGCCTATGCAGGAGGTTAGATGTTTTCTTCAATCTCTCCTACTTCCATTTCCTCATTTTATGATTGTTCCAATCCTGATTATCTTGCATGTCCTGTATGAGCAGTCCATAGCTCTCTTGCTTGGACTGTCCCTTTCTGTGGAAATTTCTGTTGCCTATTTTTATCATGACATGCCTCCTCTTATCAGGACTTATCTCCTTCCACTTTAACTGATTGGGTTCAACAGCTCATCCATTTAGCATATTCTTCTGTTGGTGAGTCTAACCATACACTTTTTTTGCATCACCTCCCATCAGGTTTAACATAGCATAGCCTCTCTTGCTTCTTTTTGATGCCAACCATTGGAAAAGATCTTGCAGGCTGGAAGGTGGACTTCTTCTAACACATTCATCTCCCATTACTTACATCACTGGGCAGATTCATGTGCCTCTGGTTTGCATCTCATTCCACTTGCTATTCACCAGTCTATTTAGAGGCTCTAGCATGGTTAGTTTTGTCTGTTGCTTTTCATTTTCAGCTCCATTTCTAAACTTTTATGATCTCCATGTCCCCCACACATTTCATGACACTACCATGGGTTGATTAACTTTTTCATACACATTAAGAAAAGAGGATGATGCATAACAAGCCAAAAATGAGAAAATAAAAAAAAAACAATTAAACACTGCATTCATTATGTTTGATGTCATCACATCCTGCGGAGTAGCCATCATTGCCTCACAGATAATATTTACCTTACATTTTGCCCCCCCAGTGGAACAGCGGTATGTCTGCAGACTTACAATACTGCAATGAGTTTTATTGATTTCATGTTGTTTAACTTCATTTAGACATTTACATAAGTTTGTGCACTGAAACTAAAACTTCGATATTTATATATATGCATCTTTCAAGAATAAGTATTTTGCTAATGCAATTTGATATTTAGATAGTGTTCTATAAAAGGCTGAAGTAAATTAAGATACCAGTTTAATATGGTGTAAAATAAGCTCCTAAAGATATGAGTAGAAACTTCAAAAATTTTGAATTCCCAGTCTTATATGTAATAAATGAAATATAAATTTATGTATGAAAAGCCTTCCTTTACTATAAATGTTGGATACATTGATGTCAATCTTATTTAACTGGTTTTGTGTATGAGATGTAATAACTGAAAACATTATAAACAGTTATTTTAACTATCAATTTCCAAATATTACCATTATATAGAAGCTTTGTTCTTCATAAACTTATCCAACACAAATTAAGTTCATTAAAATACCTAGTTCTCAGCTTGAAGAACAAAATATTGTTCAGAAACAAACATAAACCACACCAGAAATGATTACTTTGCCCAAATCATCTAAGTTAAATTATATATATAAGCTGTTATGCAAAGAAGTTACAGAACACTTGACATAAGTTTAATTTAGTAATATATTATGTACAATTGAATCCAAAATGTTGTAAGTGTTAGTGACTGTTTGTTTTAGCCTTTTAATTTGGTGATTTTTATTTGTTCTTTTTCAGTTGTTTATAACAGATGCCATTTACTTTTAAGCTCCTAATTTGACTTTTAAATATATATTTTACTTCAGATATGCAGAAATTGGAGGAAATCTTAAAAAACCTGTTCGCAAGGTCAACCCAAAGGTATGTTTGTCTAAGGCATATTGGGTGTTGCAATTAAGGTTATTTAATGTACTTTACCTATAGATCACATTACTTAAGGTAAAACTTAGGTTATAGAATGAAAATTTGTCTTTTATTATTATTATACCAATACAAGCTAGAGAATTGATGTAAACGCTGAATGAAAAATTACATGTTGTTGAATATATCATCTCATAACAAGCTTAGATCTAGTGATTTCTACCTGCTAGTTGCAAGTTATTTAACTTAATAAACAGAACCTCTTTTTAGGGAAAACACTGGAAGTTATAAGGTGAAACCTCAAGTTCAGTAAAACAAAAGGGAAATTTATTCCTGTTTAAAGTAATTTACTAAATATTTAAGTTCAACCTTGATATAGGAATTTTTAAATATTTGTTGTATGGATTATTATTATTATTATTCCATTTAATATTGTTCTTAGATTATTTGTGGACATACTCAGAGCTGCATTAAACATGGCACAGTTGCACCAGGGCCCCAAGCTGTGAGGGGCCCCTACTGATGATCTGGACCATCAGTTCAACTCTTTGTTTATCTTTTTTTGATAAATCTTCATATTTTATCTGGGATTTGTTCTATTCTTACTCAATACAGACTAGATCAATTTGACCAACCTTGTAACCATCATGAAATAAATCAAAATTACCATTGTTTTCTTTCTACAATTACTTCAAATTGTAGCAAAAAACAACATTTCTTTACACTAAATAGTTTAAAACTTCTTAACCTTATACAACTGTTTATAATCAAAATTTTATTGTTTTATTGCCTTTTGTACAATGATTTTTAAAATTCCCACCATAAGAAGTGTCAAAATGTGCGGTAACATGAAGCAAATGTTACATTAACCAAGTTACATAAAGCTCATGCTTGGTTGATCTGTTCTACTTTTCCTTGAAAAATGTTTTGCTTTTTTTTTTAAAGATTCTAATGATTCTTATACAAAAGGATTCTGCAATTGGTCGCATGGCTCTAGAACTATACAAAACCATGCAAAAGTAAAGCCCACATTTATTCTGTGTACTGCTGTATGGGACAAACTAATACCATAGAAACTGTGGATTCAAAGTTAAACAATGATTTAGAAAACAATATACAATATTGGCGGGAGTTATTGCATTGAGTTGTTGAATGTTTAAAATTCTTGTGTGGAAGAGGATTAGCACTTAGAGAGGATAGAGAGGAGATTAAAGATTTCAACAATGGCAACATTTTAGCTGCATTAGAATATACAGCTAAATTCAATCCATTCTTGACCAAGCACCTTGAAATGCATGGAAATATGAGCGTGGACATTACTTCATATTTATCCTCCACAGTTTGTGAAGAAATTATTATTTTGCTGGCTAATAAAATTTTTAAGACAATTGCTGATGAAATTCGCAATGCTAAACACTTTTCAATTATTGTAGATTCCACACCTGATGTCTCACACTCAGATCAGTTAGCTATAATATTGTGATACGTCGACGAGGAAGGGGATACCCAGGAATGTTTTGCCAGTTATGATTCTTCAATTGGGCATACAGGAAAATTAATGGCTGAAGTTGTTGTAGAAAAATTAAATAAGATGGGAATTGATATTCAAAATGCATGAGGACAATCATATGATAATGCAGCAAATATGTCCAGTAAATACAATGGCCTACAAGCGCATCTCAAGAACATAAACCAATATATTGATTAAATCCCTTGTGTAGCACATTAATTAAATCTAATAGGTGTGAAAACACAGTGGAAAGTTGCAAATGTGCATCGAATTTTTTAATTTTTTTCAAACTCTGTACAGTTTTTATGCTTCTTCAACCAAGCATTAGCAAAGCATTTGTGATGGCTTAAGAAGTGATGACAGGAGGACAATTACTCTTAAGAACCTCAGTGGAACAAGATGGTCAGCCAGATCAGTTTCAACAGAAATTCTGTATGAAAACTTCAACATAATTTTTCCCAACCTTGAAGACTTATCTAAGGATATTGATGCAAGGCAAACAGTAAGAAATGAAACTACTGCTTTGATGAATAAAATGAGAACATTAGATATTGTTTTTATGACATTCTTTTGGTATAAAATTATTCGAAGATTTGATGCTACAAGTGCTAAGCTTCAAGAAAAGAGCCTTGATTTGTCTACTGCTGTAAAGCTTATCAGTTCATTGAAGGAATATGTAAATTCACTCTGCGGAGAATTCAATAGAATCGAAATTCAAGCTCATAAGCTTTCAAATATAGTAGAAGAACAGTTTAGTAGTGAGATTTCTAGAAAGAGAAAAAGAAAGCTGGCAAATGATGAGACTTCTGAAGGTGAAATTAGTTTATCTGCAACTCAGAAGTTTTGCATAGACAATTTTATACCAGTAGTTGACAAGTTTCAAATGTGTTTGGAAAATCAGCTTGCTGCATATAAAGTGAAAGAAGTGAAGTTTGATTTTCTATCTAATTTCAAAAATTTAAATGAGAATGAGATTTTTGCTGCAGCTAAGAGATTGGGAGACATATAGTCTCCAGATCTAAACAGATCTTTTCCCAATGAAATGGTTCAGTTTGCTATTTTTTTTTAATAATGAAACACCATTCACCCAACAATGCATCAAAGCAATCAGAAAAAACAGACTTGAATCTGTTTTTCCTAGTGTTGATATGGTATTGAGAATATACTTGTGCCTACCCACCACAAATTACAGTGCAGAGAGAACTTTTTCTAAAATGGCTAGAGTAAAAAAAGAATTGCATGCTTAGATTGTAAATGAATGCTTAAACGCCCTTTCCTTGCTCACGATAGAAAGGACATTGCTTAGGCAAATAGATTATGAAGATGTAATTAGAGATTTTGCTTCCATCAAAGCAAGGAAAAAGCAATTATAGGGTATTCTGGCATGCTTCCATAATGTTGTACAATACCTATATTGTTTTTATGTACCTAATTCATTCTTACTTGCCATGTTGTCAAGTAAATAATTATTATTGTAATTGTTTAGTTTAATATATCATCCTTAAAATGTAGATGCATCATATTCTAATTTACTTCAAATAATTAGCTCATATTTTGTAATTAACTTAATATGTATTAATTATAATTAACTTCAAATTTGCTTGTACCCTATTCAAGGGGCCTCAAAAAAATAAGTGTGCCAGGGCCTCAAACTACCTTAATGTGGGCTTGGACATACTAATACATATAACAATGCAAGTTTTAGTTTTTTAATAAGTAACATTGCTGCATCCTATTTTTTTTAGTACACAATAATGTATTGAAGGATAAAAAAATTTCTGTTCTGTTTTAAATCTTCTGTTTACAGGTCAAGCCTGCTAGCCATAGTAAAGTCCAAGCTTCTGTCAAAATTCACAATTCCATACCTGACATGCTGACAATCTTGTAAGCTATTATGATATTTTTACTGTATGTTTTGCAGAACTCAACTATCAGTAATTGTAAAATTTAATATTTGTCAAAAGGTATATATAAGCAGTTATAATCATAGGGTATTTTATGACTAACAATGGGCTTACCCTCAAATTTGGAAGTTATAATTTATCCAAGTTTCTCAGTCACATTTCTGTATATCTTATCACAATTTACAGTATTGTTTGATGACTGATTTCACCTGTGATTAGATCCTTAAGAAATATAGTTGTTTAAACTTTATTTAGATTTTTGTGATGGCAAATATATTAAGGCAAATAACTAAATAGAAAATTTGCATTAGGTAAAAAGTTTCAGAAGTTGAATGCTCTATACAAAGATATAAATAAATCAAAGATAATTTTTACATTTGATGTTTTGGGATACATAATACCATACTATAAAGTAATTTAGTTTACCATGGAGAAAATGCTTTTGGTTAAAATTATACATAAGATGATCAGATTTTCAAATCATTAAACTGGGACACACTCAGCTTTTCAGATTTAATAAGATCGGTAAATATTATCAGTAGGATTAAAATTTTAAATTAGGTTTGGTGGTATAAGTATTACTAATGTTAAATTAGTCTTAGCAAGTATATCTTGACTTTACTTGCAATTTAGCTTATTGTCAAGTTATAAAATAGACTAATATATTGTATAATTACATAAATATATAAACACTAGTTATTTGTCACTTCTATATATAGTTTGTGCAGATGAGGAATTATGGGAAGGAAGGAAAACAAAAGAGACAGGAAATGATGAGAATGAAAAACCTAAGGAGGTTATAGTTATAGGTGATTCTTTGGAATGTCATGCGTCTAGGATAGTCTGTGGATTAAATAAGGAGAAAATAATTAGATTATGCAATTCAGGAGCAGTGGTGGAGGATATAACTGACAGAGCAATAGATATAAGAAAAGGTGCTAGCAGAGTTGCAGTCTTTATTGTGCACAAAGGGGCTAATGATGTTGGAAAAGGTAGGTCAGAGGAGCTAATTAATAAGTACAAGGGGTTGATAAATGCGTGTAAAGAAAAAGGTCATAACTTAATTGTGTCAGGGATACTGCCAAGAATTAATTGTGGGGATGAAGTTATGAGAAGGGAAGGTCAAAGAAACTAATTGTTAAGTACAGTAAGTTGATACAGGTATTTAAAGAAAAGTGCCATAACTTAATTTTGTCAAGAGTACTACTGAGAGTTAATTGTTTGGGGATGAAATTATAAGTATGTCACTAGGGCTGAATGCTAGACTGAGGTTAAATTGTAAGGGTGAGCAGATTGTCTGGTTGGACTTGTGGAATCAGTTCAATGGGAGAAGTGAGTGTTTTGGCTTATGTTTAATTAGGATAAGGGTTGACTTATTTTCAAGAGCTACTAACTCAACTGTAAGGACAACTTTAAACTAGGACTGGACAATGTTGAGAGCCAAGATAATCTAAATATAGAAAATGTAAAATGTGAAGAAAAGTTTAGTGTAGGAACAAAGTACAGAAATAGTTCTAAGGGTAGGCTGAATTGTTACTATGGTAATGCTAGAAGTATAATTAATTAAGTAGGTAGGTGTCTTTTGAGCACTGATCAGAATGGACAATTTTGATATGATGGGAATAACTGGAAATCGGTTAAATGTAGACAGTTTTGATGACAGAAATTTATATGTTTATATAGTTATATGTTATTTAATAAGGATACAGCACTAAAATGAGGGGGTGAAGAGTGGCTTTCTATGTAAAATGAGAGTTACATAGTACTGAAGTTGAGAATATCGTAAATAATATCAAGAAGATTAGATCTGCTTGGGTTTCTGTTAGCAGATATAGGGGATAAGGCTTTCCATGGGAATTTATCGCAGACTACCAGATTAAACTGATGAAATTAATGAGAAGTTCTATAATGAGATTAAGATTCAGAAATGTTACTCACCTCTTTGTATTGAGAACTATTACGTCACGTGCAACTGTCATGAAATTTCCTGTGTGTGCCACAAGCCTTGAACAATCTCCTGCTCCTATATGTGTTTAAATGTTTTGCACCAGCCTGTGGCATAATTGTCAAAATACTGTAGCCCTCTCTGCACTAGCACAAGACAATAGACATATTCTATTCTTGGTGCAACCTGAGTTCAGAACTTCAGATGTGTTTTGAGTTTCTAGTTGACTTAATCAACTACCTTTCTTTCTTTAATGCTACATTGCTTTTGATTTCTCTCACTTGTGCACACATATATCCTCTCCAATAGGCTTTAAAGGATCATTGGAACATGTCCTGTATTCTCTTATCTGCCCCTGTGTTTGTGCCTTCCTCTCTACATACCTCTGTTGCGATAGCTCAATTGCTCCAACCCATCCTGGAGTATAACTAGGGTAACAAGATGTCCTAGATTTGCTGGAACAGCTGCATTTTTTGGCGGTTTGTCCCAGTGTCCTGAAAAAATATCTGCTAGTGGTGCAGAGAGGTATATATTTTTAGGTAAGTTAAAATGTTAACTTCCAGCTGTTAATGAGGTCATAATTATGGTTGATTTTAATTTCAGAAATATAGATTGGGAAATGTTAGAGACAATCTATTTGGGATGATTTCTTTCACCAATTGGTCAGGAAACCTACTAGGAACAGTGCTATTTTAGACTTATTATTAACTTCTGATACATAAATGGTTGATGGGGTGGAACTTGGGGAACATGTGTCTGCAAGTGATCACTGCTGTGTTATGTTTAATATTTTACTGCATATGGAGATCAGGAATAATGAGATTTTAGTTTCAAATTTTGAAACAATGTGGCAACTATTACCTGTTATAGATTGGACAACTGAATCAATTGGAGATACTGATAAAATGTTTGTTTCTTTGTTTGTAGTTAAGCACAAAGCTACACAATGGCCCATCTGAGCTCTGCCCACCACGGGTATTGAAACCCGGTTTCTAGTGTTGTAAGTCTGCAGACATACCACTGTGCCACTGGGGGGCTTTATCAAATGAGGAGAAATTCTTAAGTATTCAAGGTAGACAAAAATAAATGGTGGCTGCAAGTAAAAACCAGGTTAGCTCACTAAGGGTTTAAGAAATAAAATTAAAGAAAAGCAACATAAATTTAAGAATTTTAAATTGTCTGCTATGATGAGAGACTTAGAGAATATTGAGAAAGTTGGCTAAACAAGAAATTTGGAAATCAAAAAGTATACACAGAAAAGAGGTTGGCTGAAAATGTAAAAGTTAACAGTAAGGATTTCTTTAAATCATTAAGGGTAAGCAAAATATTAGGATAGGGGTAGGGGCTTTGAGAGATGATAAAAGAAGGTTCCTATCTGATGATTATGAGATGGCTAGGTTATTAAATTCTACATTTAAAAAAATGGCTCACTGGATATAAAAGGGGCTGCTGGATGGTGTGGGGGATAAGTTGGCTCATTGGATGTAAAAGTGGCTGCTGGATGGAAGAAAGCAGAGGGTTATTATATAGATGAATTTAAGTCAAACTGAATTAATGTGTGACAAGTAGGGTACATCAGAGCTTAATTTAAGGACCTTTGCTCTTTTTGATTTACAACAATGACATAAATGAAGGAATGGTTATTAAGTTGGAGGAGGAGGATGCTGCTTTACAAAAGGACTTGATCATTTGGTGAATTGCATGAATAAATGGCAGATGGCTTTTAATTATAATAAATGTAAGGTAATTAATGTGGGTTATCATAATTTGAATTATAATTTTGATGGTAATAACCTTAACAGTGTTATAGAAGAAAATGATCATGTTCTGGTTAATCAGTATATTGAGCCATCCACGCACTGCTCTGTTGCTAGTGGTAGGGCGAATAGGATTTTAGGTTTATTTACAGAAATATTGAGTACGAGTATAAAGAGGTTATAATTTCATTGCGTATGTCACTAGTCAGGTCAGATTTTGAGTATTATGCAGGGCTAGAGGACATAAATTTTGGTTGAGAATGAACAATTTTCAGCTAAGACAATTTTGTGTTTTTCTAACAGTGTAGTTGACCTCTAGAATAGGTTGCCTTCAGATGTGTTGGAAGCAGAAAATTTAAGGATGTTTAATGGAAGGCTTGATAAATATTTGAATGATAAGGGCTAGTTTGAAGTTTTTTTTTAATGGTTTAGTGGATGGGACAGCCTAAATGTGCAAACAAGTCCCTGTTGTCCATAAATGTTTTGTTATCTTAAAACTGGGACATCCCCTTTTATTAGGGATAATGATAAAGAATGAAAAATGTAAACAAATAAATATTATGAATTCAAAGGATATTTTTACCATTATTACAATAAAAAATTGGGAAACTTATCCCACAAACAAATGGTGAACAATAAACAAAAGTTTTTAATGCTCATAATTTTTTAGGCCAGGATACCATTTCCTCAGGAGAACTTAAACTGTAATAAAACAACTTATGCAAGACACTTCCATGTTGTTTTTGTCCTTGGACTACACTTGGTATAATACGTCATATCCCAAGGTGCTTCCCCTGATGTTTTCTGCACATGGCCTATTCATTTACAGTCCTCTAGCCCTAGTGTGTATTCTATTTGTTTCTGCTCTACATATCTTATCTTCTTCACCGGGTGAAGAGCATACCTGTTCCAGAAGTTGTCCTAGACCCCACAGGTGTGCCTCATATTTTAATTGTGACATACCTGCTTTTCTTCATAGCAGTCGCTCTCTAATTTATGTTTGTTTTTGTGCCTTCACTGGCCTCTCCACCTTTCACATGTGGGATTTTAGCTATGGGGAAGTGGAGGTAGTACCATTTCGGAAGTTAACATTTTCTAACACTAAAAATGTATTTTCAATAGGTAGTTACCTCTCTCACCCACTTCTCACCCTTCCTCCCCACTGATTTTCTGGTGTTTTGGGGTTTGTATATGCCAATTCTCGAAAGTGAGGATTGTCCCAAAGGGTAGAGGGAGCTACCTGCTCTAATATAGAGGGTGCAGTGGGTGGAGGGTGGTCACATGAGCAGCATATGTTGCTGCAATGATGCAAAAAATATAGGGGAATAAAATACTGATGCACTTTTAAAAAGCTTATCAATGCTTAGAGGGTAAAAGATAGTTGAGATAACCATGGGTGAAAGGAGGTAAGTACGTATCAGAAATATATTTTTATTGTTAGAAAATGTTAACTTTGATTATTCCAACTATCCATTAATTAATTTTTGATTAAATCAATTAATATCAGGAAAATAATCAACTAATGTTTCCATTTATTCCAACTATCCAATAGTCGAAATATTGCCATTATGATTTTTCATTATTTTCTTCTATCAATTCAAGTTTGTTCAACTTAATTAATTAATGTCACAACTTATGAAAGTTATCAACTAATCAAAATGAAGATTTCCAATTATTATTATTTTTTATTATTCCAACTGTCCATGTAATTACAAAATTGTTATTATGTTTTTTTATCTTTAAGCACAAAGATACACAATGGGTCATCTGTGCTCTGACCACTATGGTATTTAGATTTGTAGCATTATAAGTTTTTTTTTAGTCAGTTCAAGTGAGAACAATCAATTAGGAAATTCCACCACTTGCACAGTTCTAATGTTCGTTCATACTTTGGTTTAATAAATGTTTTATGATTTAAAAGTCAAACATCAATTGTGAACACCACCTGCCATTTGCATTCAGTTGTCCATCTTTGTTTTAGCAGGCTCAAAATCATATGCTCAGTGATATATCCAATAGTGACATCATGCTGTCTGCTGCAGTCTACCTTATAACCAACTTCTGAGAAAGCAGCAAAGTCAATGCTGAATCATTCCAATCCATGCAATAATTTCCCTACTCAGTTGAAAAAAAAATGTGTATCTGTTGATTCATGGTTGTCAGGAGGCTTCATAGTACCAAATACATGTATAAAAAGTTAAAAATTACTGACAAAAATAAAAACTGAGGCATTTAGAATTTATCAGGACACAGGAAGAACATTCCAAAAATGAAGTGTATAGTTGTCTTATACATAAGAGAAATTGTTTTGATATAAACTCTGTTACCAATGTAATATTTAGTTATAACAAAACTAAATGCTTATTTGTAGGTACAGTGTGAACTTTAAAAACCCTCTAAAACTAGTGGTTTTAAAATATACACAAATTATAACAGACTTTTTTTTAATTGTGTATTTTCTCATTTATGACATTGTTTTAGATCCTAGTATAAGGCTCGAGAATAATTGGTTGTTTTAAGATATTAGGCGAAGTCTATTTTGAGATGTCTTGTTTTCACATTATACTTTTTCAATGAATCACTGATCCTAACTGTAACAATATATTGTTGCTTCTTGAGTTGTAAAACCAATTATAAATGGTATTTATTTGAAATCCCAGAAATATGCAGTGAGTGGTAGTTTTGCATAGGTTCCAAATTCGAGGACATTTACATAAGAATCCAAAAGGCAGGGTCAGGATTCATAGCCAAAAGGAACGTTTATCAAAGATATATAAAATAATAATTACAAAAAGGATTCCCTAGTTGTGTGACTTGTTAATTAATTCTAGCCTACAGTTCCTGATAAAATAGTTTACTTTAAACTCACAGATAAATTACTTATGGATCTTTTTCATATCATTGGCACTGGAGAACTTGGCTTGCTAAAGCTTTCTAGTGCTGACTCTAGCTAACTATAGCTGTGGTAAACTAATCTGGTCTGACAACAGCTCTTATGTTCCACTATTCTAAACCAGTTCTCTTTGGTATGGGATTATGCACAATCTACAAAAGTTATAAAAACAGATTTTTACTTTGTTGTGTATTTTCTCTTTCATGACAAAGAACCCATTATAGCTGCCTACAGCATTACTGTAAGTGGAATCAAATAACACTGTAGGTCTTGGAATGTTTGAAAGATAATTCCAATTAATGTAAGCCTTCATTCAGTGTAGAGTTCTGTTGATACTTCATGAATCTACCTTACCTATCATTGTGTAACCTAAAGTGGTGATTAATTAGTTTGCTTATATATATATGTTGTGGTATTTAGTTAGTAAAAATAGTACACTACTTAAACCACAATTATATATTATTCCAAAAAGAAAAGATATTTTGTTACGTGTTTTGGCCACATTTGTTCAGGCTATCATCTGGCAGGAATGAAAATAAAAATACAACAGTTCCTAAAAGCATTGTAAAAAACTTTTCACAGCTACTAAGTGTGGCAGATTTTACTACTTGACAAGCTCAAAAATACAATAAAATTTTGAATTTTATGTCATCCATTTATTCAAACTATATCTTCTTGTATAGTAAACTCATTTGGTATTTAAAACTTGATGATGAGGAACCCACTTTTTAGAAAATAAATGTTTTGAGACAGCTTGACTGGGTAATGAAAAACTTTATTATTATTATTATTAGAGTGTGAAGCAATATCTGGTCATGTGACCTCTTTGTTTTATACTATATATATACTCATGTATCTCTGTAAACTACTTGTAACTGAGAATGACAAAATCTTGTCGAAATGTCATTTCAGTACATTCATAATAAAGTTTTTCATTACCCAGTCAAGCCGTTTCAAAACTTTCATTGGGTATTTGTACTTTGAAAATTTTTATTGTCAAAGTATCAAATAAAGATTGTTTACACACTTGGAACACTCACTGGTTTATTTACATTTCTAGAGATTTAGACAAATTTTATCGAAGAAATTATTAAAATAGACATTTATGTCCGTGTGTTATATATCTATATGTGTGTGACTGAAAAAGAGAAATTATAGTCAAGGTTGTACAAAATACTTGATAACTAACTATTGATTTGCTTAAATAGTGCTTTCAATAATGGAGATGGGTTCACATCTCCCCAAAAGATCCTTATCAGCAAGCATGAATTGAAGAATTGGAGCCAAGTGTTACAGACAATTGGAAAAAATGTCCAGCCACAGTCTAGAGTTGTTAAAAGGTAATATCTGGTTACGTGTAAACTATCATGTTTCTTTTACTTACAGCAAAATTTTAAGTCTTATGAGGCTGTTGAGAATGATGTACTTTCTGAAAGTACAGGGACAAGTGTAATGAAACAAAATGTATTTTGTAAATTATGAACACTGACTGAAATTAACAGTTTATATTTATAACTAAAGAACTATGTTTATTTGTCTTTAACCTCAAAATTTCTTTTGAGGGTTGTATAAAAAATAACTATAAAACAAATGTTAAAAACATATAAAAATAAGTGTATTTAATTCTGAAATTAGTCATTTAACTACAAATATTTTATTGACCCTTCGTTATTTATAAACATGGGATAATCAGGTTTGATAACCAGATGAACTGCAGTTTTTTGTGTTTTGCACCAGGTAGTTGGTTTCATTATACTCCCAGATCCAATATTCCCAACCTCCTGCTTTAGCTGACCATGCTTTGTCTTTCAATTTTACCTAACTGTTCCTAGCATCTGGTTTTGCTTCTGGTACTTTCCTTCCTGATGAGGAAAGAGTAACCCCACATTTGTTCTTTGCTACTTTGATTAAACAGTTATGTTTTTCTTTTTTCAGTGCTTATTTGCTGAATTTTGGGCTACCTTGTGTAAGCCCTCTCCTTCTCAGACTATCTTCTCTTTCCCCTCTCCACTGATTATTATTCATGTTTATGTTGATACAGTTTTGTCTCATCTTCATACCAAACCCCATTATCCTCCTAAACACCAAGAATCTTTCCTTAAGCTTTAATCCCTTGACACTCTTCTTACAGTTTGGTGATCTCCTTCTCTATCTTTCTTTCGCTCTCACTCTGCTCATCTTCATCTTGCATAGTTTGTTCACTTTGTCAATGTTTCTCTTTCTTTTGGAGGCTGTACATTGTGACCCCAACAGCTTTACTGAGGACAATTACACCTATCTGTTCTCAGTCTAGGCTTTAATGTCGTAATTCCTCTTACACTGGAAACTCAATACATTGAAGATTGTCAGCAGTCATCTCTGCTCTTTTTGGTTTTCTGCTTTACTTGGTCTAGGGGTTCCAAACAGGTTTCTTATCCAAAAGAGCCTTATAATGTCACCCATCTACTTTGTGCACTGGACTCCCTTTGAAGCAGAATTTTAGGTCACACAGATGCTTTTTCATGGGCTTTCCTTTCTTTCCACACACACATCTTCCTCTTTCCACCCCCTCAGTTCACTTGCATCTTCATTAATTGGTGGAGACTATATCATTTTTCCTATTTATGAACAACATGGAAGAGGGTCTTGACCCCACTCTGGGTTTTTACTCCCCCACCCCATTTTTTTCATTCTCATAAAGGTGGGTGATTGGCAATCTATCATAGATCTATCATCCTTAAACCACTTTATTGACATTTCTTGGTTCCAGGTAGATGGTTTTCTCAATATGAGGTATGTGTTCTCTCTCAGGCTGTGGATGACGAAGGTGATGTTTATGATGCATTTCTTTATGTTCTGATTTGTCCAGTTCATCCAATATGGGCAGAATGCTCAGTTCTGGGCCTTTCCCATTGAACTGGCCTCAGCCATAAATGTTTTCAGTCAGGTCTTGAGAGCATTTGTATGAAAGGTGGATTTATTGAACCTACATTTCCACTACTATTTGGATGACTGACTCCTTCCTGCCCCATCAAATTAAGCATCCTCAGCTGCAACCTCCCTTCTCCCTCGAGAGTCATCTCATTTATGATTGGCTAGTTATACAAGACCTGCTACTATGTAATTCTTATAAAACCTTTGAGATCTTAACAGTAGCATGGATGGCTGGAGGATGGGAGCCATATTAACAATTTAAGTTGGGTTTGTATAGTAATACCTTAACATTGTGGTATTTATATTCAAACATCATTATGGGGGCTGGAATGCCAACTTCAAGGACAGTTTAACTGTCTCCCCCATTGATGTATGTATTGCAGTTACTTCTTTCTTCATAATTTTTTTTTTTGTGCAACCACCTTCCCACATCTGGCCGCAGACAGTGAAAGGTGATAAAGATGTGAGACACTGTGGGCTAGAGCACCCAAATCTGCTATTTTTTATTATCATTATTATTAAGAATGTGAGTCTTATGAAACTGAGATTAAACTGGATAGATGGTGTACCCCCAATGCAATTTGGGTCTTACTTACACCAGTACCTTAAAAACCGGGGCACATTGCATAACTATCCACCTTATGGTGTGTGCCCCGGTGGTACATGTCTGTTTTGTAGCTGCATTGTTTTTTTTTTCTTTCATTTTCTACATAATTTTTCGTCTCAGGTTTGGATATGCTCTGTTAAATTCACCCTGTTCTTTCATATGATGTAATCTTTTTTTTTCTCTTTTTTTATAATCATATGTATATTATATTTGTACACACATACTTTTTCTTCTATAAACATGATAAAAGTAGAAATTTAAGTGCTACAAGTAATCTTAACAAAAGTTCACTCTTTCAATATGCTGGTGTGTGTACATGTGTGTCAACACACATACAGAAGGTTGAGTACATATTACCATGATTTTGAACATGCACGTCACCAAGTAATGACAACCATGGCTGATACAAAGTTGTTGTGGAATGGAATAGATCAGAACGACATATTAACATTTCATATATTTCATAGGTAATGTGAAGCCACCAAAAATTTATCACAGCACTTTCCCATGCAAAATATTTACATACTCAGATCATAAAGATGTGTTCAAATCAGTGATTTAGAATTATCATGGTGAAAGTATCCCTTGTACTTAATGACATAAGAAAACAAAACATTCAAAAAGAAACCTAAAAGTCATATCCTAGCCATGCAACAGGTGAGAATGGATGACCACAAAGGTCAGTGGAAGGAGTCATTCATGTACCCCAAGCAATAGTACACAATATAATCAAGATAGATTTTTATTGGAAATGTGACACAAGTTGCTTCCATGAGATACCTGTTCAACCATTGCATACCTCGCAGCTAGAGAATGATATATTCCACTCTATTTGAAGACAACTATAACAATTTATGATGCTCCAAAATCAATTAAATACAAGATACTCAACCTCTGTATACACATACATACATTTATGTATGTGTGTGTGTAAATATACATATATAACTATTAATCTTTCCTCTCCAGGTTACATACAATTGATGGACAACCTGTAAATGGACCAGAAGACCTAGTTAGTGGTAGACAGTATGTGGTTGTTGGCAACTCTGAAACCTTTAAGAAAGTAAATTATGGGATGAGCAAAGGAAATCTTGCATCTAAAAAACTTTCAGTGTGAGCATAACTTTTATGTATAACTTTAGACTTACTCTACTTTAATATTATGTAAAGTCAGGCAAAAGACAAACACTAACTTCATTCTGTTTTATATATCGTACAAAATAAAAAAAATGTTTTTTTTAAAACTTTATACCTTTTCACTAAAGATTGATAACCTGTGGGAAATTTTTTAAGTTGTGCATCTTCCATTTCATACACTTTTGTAGAGGCACATACCTTTTCATAAGTATTATCTAAATGCAATATATGTACAATTTACTGAAAATTTGTTAAATACAAAGATGTGTTATTAGTTGTATGTTTTGTATTTGTGCCTCTGTTGATTTCCTGTTTCCTTTTATTACTCTGTCTTCAAGAGGAAACCTATTGTTTTTAAAAATGTTCCACCTCCAATAATAGTAAACAAACATTATTGTCATTGATATTCATTAATAGATATCTTTTTGTCTTGATATGTAAACATTGTATCCTTTTTTTAATAACCTTTTAGGTTTTTTTTCAAATCTTGAAACCTTTATCTATGACAGTTGAAAAACAGCCATATTTTATATATTTTACTTTTCATAACTAGAAAAGAAAATATCTTTAGCCAGGTATTTTGCAAAACATTTATGCAGGTGTTCTACATTTCTTTAGTTGAAGCCCTCATAAATAAGATCAGGAAGGTTGTAAGCTTGTACTAATCCTTTAGATGCAGGTCAGTAACCATAATGGTCACTCAGTAAAGCTTTATATTTACTGGACTTTGTGTTATCACTACCCTAAATTTTGTGTGGTACTCAAATTGAGGGGTGATACAGAGGCTTGTAGAAGTTAGAATAAATTGAGGGTTTATTTCTCTTGAATGTATTATGATAATAACCATTAATGTAGGTAATTACAAAACAGTAGGAAATCACTGGTGAAGCCTGTAATCAAGGACATTTAGCTTCCAACTGGAATTGTCATTGGGATAGTGATGGAGTCAGAAGTGATGCAAACCATGTGGTTAGTTTGAATCACAGTCATTGTACCATGTCTGAGAGTGAATGCATCATTTCTTGAGCATGTGTAGTCTCTAGTTGAGGACTGTATTTAATAATCTGAACTCAAGAGAGTCATGGACTGTAAGTATTACTCAATGAGTTTGCTGATGGGACAAAATAGCCAATTAGGTCAGATAACAATCATACGTCATCACACAGATCTGATAAAACAAGTACTGCACAATCTTTCTTGAAGCATCACAGATGTGGCCAGCATAGAAATCTAGCAGAGGTTGAAAGATGGGATGATACAAACTTTGTAACGTTTGGTCATTCCATGCATTTGTTAATAAAAAGAAGAATGCCAGAGTTTCGTGTGGGGCTAATGTGGTGACATATGTCATTGTCTTTCATTTTCTTCTTGCCAGATAGACATATCTCTGGAGTGTGCATGGGTTCATTATGCTAGATTTGGTTTCCATCTATTGGCAGGTCAAACTACATGATGAAAGTATACCTGGGGTTGTACAAGTTCCACATTATGCTATTTTGTTTACATAATGTACCTGCACCACTTTCTACAGATTATTGAAATTTACTTAGAGAACTGCAATGGAAAAGTTATCTCAATTAAGTCTAAAATAGTTGGCTTTGGTTGTACATTTCAAATTCTAACTGAGAACTTAATAATGGTATTCTATGAATCAAAGAATTAGGCTTGAAGTTGAAACCAAGAAATTGTGTGTTCATATGCACAGGATTGGAGTTTATCTATCAAACAGTAGGCAAGGATCTAGTGTTTACTGTTACTGCAAAGATTGTGGCAATTAATAACTGGCCCCATCTTGGGACCATTTGAGAAGTAAGCAACTTTTTTGTTTCACATCATACTATCAATGATTTGTAGTTAATGTTTTTAGCATAAGCACACAATTGTCTGGATTGATTAATATGGGCTTTATGTAGTTGCAGGAATGTGAAAACATGCATGCCAGTAATTGAAACCTGTTATGGTTGAAACACGGGTATTAACCTTGTCAGTATTCTCCATTAATCTTAGGTGAATACTGACTAGCAGAAAGTGGTGTTCCTCACTTTCCAATCTGTTGAATAGTTTCATGATGCCCACAGTACATTATGTGATAGCTACTTGATTACAGCACATTTAAGATGGCTGAATAGCTGATAGATTGGTATGGAACATATATAACTGCATGCGCAACTTGTGTGATAATCGCACCTCCTGAATGCTGATAGTGGGTGATAAAAGGAATAACTACTTGAAGTTGTTGTACTTGTTAATCATTACTGCCAGTACTTCTATGATCAGGAGTACACAATTTAAATGGACTATACATCACTTAAGTAGCTGATGTACTTAAAAGATGAGGAAGGTATGATTTCTCATTGGATATTGATATTACAAAAGAGCATCATCATTTTAGGACACTGCCTTAACCAGCAGCATGGAAACACTGATGAATTATCTCCCCAGCTGATGAGGAGATGCCATTGAAAAAAATGATATAAGCCATTGCAGCAGAAATGATGTAAACCATTGGAGCTTTGACAATTCTACATGTCTGTTGACACCAAAAATTAACAGTTAGGAACTTTGGGGAGAGCAGTTGAAGGACCCAAACACAGCTTGGTTACAAAATACTGTAGAGTAATATGAATAATAAATATCAAAATTTTTTGAACATAATACTAAATTACTTAACATGAGGCACTTTGCATATTCAGCTAGAAATGCAGGATGGCCTATTGTACTACTTTTATGAACTAGTAAGAGGCGATAGGCAATTTTGTATACAGTTAGTGGTCCCCGAAGCTCTAAGACAGGAGATACTTTGGACTTTACATAACGCAAAGACTGGAGGATGTCAAGTGTTAGATAGCATTACAAACATGCAGAAATGGTTTTTCTGGCCACACTTGTACATAGATGATAAATGATAATCTAGATACTGTACTACATATGCTGTTCAGAGTAAAAAACAAACAATGATGCCTAGGAAAGGTAGTTGTAGGTTCCCTCTTAGAGAGTAGAGTATCACCCTAGATATAGCTAGTCCAATGTTCAAGGTATTAGGTACTTTGTATCAGTCAGAAGTATAAGTCATCCAACTTTGCTCCTGAAGAAGAAAGGTCCACCTTTCGAAAGTGCTCGGGTTATAGAGTTTTTATTCATTTCTATCAAGACTTTTTGAACCTATGTGTTTTTCTAACATCATGAATATATTAATATGTAAGTAAACATTTGTATACTAAGTAACCAAACTACTGTTTAATTAATAATCTAAATCTATAGTGCTGATTTAAAAGCATGTTTTGCAGTGATATTAACATAAGAATCATAAAATGAACTTTACAAGGTGGTTGTTTAAAAGAAAATTAAAATGATTGCACCTTAACTACTTGTATCATAGGAACTAATTTCACCAAAAAACATATTGAAAACCACAAGTTTTATTCAGAAATATTTTGACATGGTAAACAGTGTTTTGATAACTCTCACATAAGTTACACAATATGCTTTTTGTCATTTTTCAGTCGTCATATCATATGCTTATCCTTAAATAGAGCTACTGCAACCATTATCTGTTCTAAACAGTGTTCATTGATCCTTGCAATATCTCATGCTCTGACATGCATTTTATTCAAAGTGCCAATCTCATATTGTCGAAAGAATGAGATAAAAAAGGGAGTTAAAACAATGGTAGTTTGTGAAAAATATTATTTAGGTATGCAGTAAAATATGATTATGAAACACCTTGTACCATGTCCAAACATTCCAAATAAAACTCATGATTCTCAATGTGTATTTGGTAAAAATCTTACCCTAGTGCTTAAGCCTAAAGGTGAGCAGTTTTTCAAAATACAATCACTTTAAATAAAGCGTTTCTTTATAGTCATTCTGTTTATTTCTCAAGAGCTCATGCAGTAAATATTGCTACAGGAATAAACATAGTGAGGCACAAAAATTAAGTTGGCCCAAGTTGGAAAGTTACTTCTTTTCCTAGTGTCTTTCACACATTTAGATATCAATAATGTGTCAGTGGATTCAAATGGTTTCAAAAGAATTAGATATATATCTTTAATTCCAGTACATGTCATAATTAAATATAAGTTCAATAATGAATTCACTATCCGTTTAAGCTAACCTTATGAGACTTTATTTGTGCTGGTGTTTCTATTATTATAACTGAAATGTTACCATGTTAAATCAAATCTTCTCTTTTTCAAAGATCACAAACATTTATACATATGCATATTAACAGGTGAAATATACAAAAACAGTGACTAAGGGTTGTGATTGATACAAAACAATACCTGTAAACCCCTTTCTATAACAAGCTGCTCTCACCAACAGCATAAAAGATATGGACATTTTTGGTGCTACACTATGCAATACATGTTAAAAATATTTATCATAATTTAATAACTTAAAAATCATAATCTTAACTGCATTTTATTCAATGTTTTCAGAAGTGTAAGAGTAAACATTCTCAGATAATTTCCCATAAATAAGGTGAATGAACAAGATGGTGTATACTATCTTATGCTGGTGAATGGTAGTTTATGTGAAATTAAATCACAATAAGACTACTAATAATTTTTTTACAAATCTTTCTTTACTGGCCATTTACTATGGGTTTCCAATAAATTGATCCCATTACATTTATTTTTATTGCAAACTCATAGTACAAGGCCAGTAAGGAAAGGTTTGTAAAAAAATTATCATTAGTCTTATTGTAATGTAATATTACACAAACTACTGAATGAAAAAACATGTATTATTTATCAAGAAATGATACTATTAAACTTTAGATCACAGCCTTCTCCAGCGAAAGGAGTAAAAACAGGAACAAATAGAACTACAAAGGCAAAAACCAAAAGTGGCAATCAACAGTCAGCTAGAATTAAAAATGAAGATGTACTTTCCACAGAAAAATGTGAGTCAATCTCTAAATCAAGTACTGCCAGTTCTGAGAATCTCTTTCATGCCAAAGGTATCAGCGGCACATCAGCTGGACCTACCAGAGAGGTAGACCTTGATCAAGGTAACAATTAATATGAAATGTTTCAATTTAATTACTTTTTGAAACTCAGTAACTTAATATGCTTATAAAAAAACAAATATTTTATATATTCTTTAAATACTTGAATATATTCTAAAACTAAATGCTAAATTTAACAGCTTTTTGTAAGGTAATCACCAAATGAGAATTTTTATTTTTTGTTTTACAAAATATTCCACATGGTCCACAAATGTGGTATACTTTGTATGTGCACTTGCTGCTAATTTTAATATAATTTTAAATACTTCCAGAGATCTCTGTGTTAGTTAAATAAAATTATGTTAATTTAGGAGGATGTACAAAATATAGTAAACTAAGTTATGCATCTATATATGTACTTTTGAATATGTAAAGTTGATTACAGAGCCCTGAACTGAAGAGTTTGTAAGATCTACATTAGGTAAATATATGCTCAAAAGTGTCTTTACAAACTTTCTCAGACTTGGGTGGAGTATATAGAGCTAAACAACATAGCCCATTGACAGAAGGAGCAACAGAAATTAATGAAACTCCTGATACTGCTGTGGATTTACCAATTGATCAACTAGAGGCTGAAGAAGTTTTGGTATGTTTTAATTCAGAGTATCCAAGTTTGTACTAAAGTAGCTTTCTTACTTAAAAATGCTGTATACATTAATTACATCAAGTACAAAAATGACTTAGGTGATTCTGAAAAATGTATATATCAAAAAAGATGTGTAACATATATTTATATTTATAAAAGTTTTGTCTAGTTAATCTTAAGTTTATTAAAGCCTCTTTATTTGTTCTGTTAACTTATAGCAGAAATAATAATTCAGAAATACTACCTATCTGCACCACTAAGAGTCATTACCTCGTGTACAACTGGTGTGAAATTTCTTGCACATACCACAAACCTTGAATAAATTCCTACCCTTACATACTTCAACACTTATTGCACCAGCCTATGATGTAATCATCATAATGCTGTAGCTTTCCACCAACAGGAGGGCAACACAATCTCCATGTGCAGTAATCACTGTGAGCACTAGCACATGATCCTAGCTCACTCTTTCCTCAGCACTGCATGTGTACAGGTGTGAGTTTTCCTGTGTCTTTTGAGTTTCCAGTCACTTTGATCATCTGCCTTTATCATTGAATTTTTGTTCTATCCACCTTATTGCAATTTTTTTCTATAGCCACCACCACATTTCTTCTTTCTATTAATGGTATGTATTTCTACATAAATTGCTCATGGATTGCCAATTTATCATGAATTCTCAAACCCAAGTTGCTTCTACATCCAGAAGCCAGATTTTTTTCTTCAGGAGTCTTTTACACCTGTATCAACACTGACTGGAGGTACGTTATCTGTTCTTGATGTTACCACTACATTGCATCAGGTGGTTCGTTCCCTTCTGTTTATTTCTTATCATCAAGTTCAGGTCCCTTGTCATTCTCTTTCTTTGCATTCTGTGGAATCTGCCTCAACTTTGAATCATTTTGTCCATCTCTTGACACCTCCAGCCTTCACTTCCTCAACAAGGAACAGATACTTTCTCCTTCTTTATTTGTTACACTCATACGTTAGGTTTGTGACATTCTATCTCTTTCACCAGAAAGTTAGAATGACTCTCAGGTTTCTTTAGTTCATAAGCCTCACTCTTCTGACTTTCTCTTTACCCCCACCCCCATCCCTCCCTGGAAAGATGTGCCCATTCTGATGCCTTTCTATCACAACTTTTCACTGATCAACATTTTTTCTCCTCCTCCTCATCTTCATGACTCTTTCTATGGCCTATGGTCATGATCCTTCTATATTTCTTGAACTCAAGTGTCTTCTTTCAACTTGGGGCACTCCTCATTCTCCTTCATTGCCTCTTTCTTTCCAGCAATCTACTCATATTTGTCTTACCTTTATCAAACTCATTCACTATGTCTCTACCCTCCCTCTGCTTACCAAGGCTTTTCATTGCGATCCTCCACAGTTTCATATGAGGACATCTGTTCTTATTTGTTTTCCACCTTGGCTTCTCATTCTTTCTCTGCTATCTCTATTTTGGCTTAGTTTCTCTATTTTTGGGATCCTTTATCTAGCCACTTTTTATACAGACCAAATCCTTGGAATCTTAAGCTGAGGCTTTTCACCAGTAGTCTTCCATTGTTTCCCTGGTTCCCAACTCACTATACAATGGGTACCTCATGTTAGGCTAACTCCTCACCTGTTCTTTATCCAATTCTTCTGTTTGCCACCTCCCCCTCCTATATGGCAGGCTAGCACAGCTCTCAATGGTGAATTGTCTTTGGAACTGATTTTTAGCTCTGGGCCTCTTATCACACCCCTCTCCCATTTTGCACACCTATGGGTTGTGAAAGTTTCTTCTCATTGTCAGCCCTTGCAATTTTATACTTCACCTTCTCTTTCTCTTCATTCTCTTCCCTATACTCCTCCTTCCGAAACAGTACTACCTCTGCTTACCTAAATTATTGAGTGCAGAAATTAGATCCATCCACACCAGCTCACATAAATTCATTGAACATGGATATACCTTCAGAGAGGGAGAAATACACACTGAAAAACTTACTACAGATCTCCTGGGAAAAAGAGCAAGACCTATTCCAGTAGATTACAATGAGGCATGGTATTAAGTGGAAAGTGCCCTAGAAAGAAACATTCTACACAGTAGTTCTAACCCTCTGTACAAAAATCATAATGTGAAAGGAACAAAATCGCCAGATGAATGTAAGACACGAACTCCCCAAGAACTAAAGCCTGTGCTTCCCAGCAGATATCATCAACCCTGAGAACTGAGGACTAGTGTCAGAACCATTGTCTACTTATAGCAGGAATTTTTTGATCCGCCATATTAAATCTCGAATTCTTATGAACAAAGTAGAATTCAGAAAACAGAAACATTTCAAAAACAAATGAGTAGAAACAATGAAAATCAAACACAAGAAGTCGAAACTTGAAGTTGAAACTGATATAATTTGTGATCAGGCACAATCAAAATTTTGTAGTCACATAGAGAATGAGTTAAAATACATGTCTATACACTAGAATGTCAACTGAGAAAGTGAAGATTGTGCTGCAATGGTAGAGGGAGCAACCTGTGCTAGTATATATGGTATATATGATTGGTGAAGGGTAGTCACATGATCAGCACATGCTGCTGCAATGAAGGAGTATAATAGACTGATGTGCTGTTGAAAATTTTAGCAAATCAAGGTTGAGATAGCTGTGGGTGTGGGGGGGGGGGGTAAGTACCTATCAGAAATACATTTTCAGTGTTAGATAATGTTAACTACTGATCCTCTAAATTTTTTAATTCTTCAGAACATGTGGCCTCTCTGTTGATGGTGGAAATTATAGAATTTGTCTCTTGCTTCATTCAGGGCTTTTACTTCCATCTTTATTGTCCCCAGATAGAGAGGAGGCTGGCACACTACCATCAACCTGTTGTTTCTTTCTCAATTTTCCATAATTCTGGATAGACCAAGGTCAACATTTCAGATGCCCTGACATTCCCATTTGTCCTTTATCTAGTCTTTTCCTCAGTTTGTCCACAGTGGACAAGTGTTTCTATTCTGTGCCATTCCCTTTGGCTTAGCAATGGCCTCATATTTTTTAATCAGCTCATGTTGTCCTTTGCTCAGTACTTGCATCTTCTGGGCCTTCAATTCAATTATTACATAAACGACTGGCATCTACTGGCCCCCTCTCAACATGATTGGGCAATTTCTATCTCCATTCTTTTTCAGGGGGCATCTTGCCCGGGCTGGCTGGTCAAACTTACCAAGTTCTGTTTTGACTCCCACTCAGTATCTTGTCCACCTGGGCATCTTCCATGATTCCCATTGGTGTAGGATCATTTCTTCCCCTTGCATCTTCATGCCATGGGGATCCTGGTATTAAAGGCTCTTCACTCTCCTTCTCTCACTTTTGGAGAGACTTGCCTCTATAGACCCTCATCCCTCTTAACGCTTTCACTACAGGTATGGTATATGAATAAATATAGCATGAAAACATAGCTAATAATCCACATTTTAACAGTATATAAGTTCTTAATTTTATAAAGCAATATTTAAAATAAATTCTGAATCACCCCTAGTATGAGAATTGTGACATTTTTCTCTAGATATCCCCTCTTCTCTAATTTAATTACCCACCACTCCAAGAATTATGAAATTTAATGAAAATTACTCATTATAATGTTGTCATTGCTCTGGCAAAGCTTAATTTTCATAGCCTTCAATCTTATTCAGTTACAGAGCAATAAAATAGAAAGTCAGACCCCTCTTACTATGCCCACTTGTCACATCCCCTCTTTCAGAAATTGCCAATAGTTCTCTCTGACATTTAATATTATAGTATTTATAACCAATAGAAATCCAAGATTTTAATTCATCAAATGCTGTATTATATTACATTGTTTTCTGTACATAGAATTGTCTATTTCCCATCCAGTTCAAACTTTATTCCCACTAGAAACACCTTGACAAGCTTAGCTGAATTTTTAATGGCTCTTGTTGTATAATTAGAAAGCCAGAAAATTGTGATAGCTATATGACATTGTCTAATTTTTGCATGCTATTATTCTGTTTTGTTTGGAGCATTATTTGATTAAATAAAAATGATTTAGTGCAGTAATACCATTAGTATAAAAAAGTGGTGCTAAGTGTTATTGGCATTCAACAGGAAATAAAAAGAAAACCCAGGTAAGTACTTTATTTCTTGTTTTTCATGTGTATTCTTTATTATTATAAAAGTAACTAAAATGTAAAAATTAGAAACTTTATGGTTAGATAAGGTTAGACTAGGTAAAATAAAGAATAATAATAATAAAAATATTTCACCAGGTACACTTGTGAGCAGTCCATACATTACGTAATTCAATAGGGTAAGATAAGCTACATGTTTGCCAAGTGATTTATAAATTATATGATGTGAATATTAGCCAGACACAGTTCAAAGGGCAATAAAACAATAAAATGTAAGTATAAACAGATCTATACTGTTACAAGTTTAAAGCTATTAAGGATAAACAAATGTAGTTTCATGTTACAATTTGAAGTCATTCTAAAAATGGTAATTTAGATTTATTTAAATTTTTCTTATTTTGGTGTTTGCAAAATTGGTCAAACTGACCAACTTCATATAGAGTTGAATAGAGAAAATAACAGATAAAATATAAAGTTTTATTCAAAAAAAAATTTGAAATTTATTTAGGAAGTTTTAGAAATTATGCAAATGAAATTTGAGATTTTGGAGATGAAGAAAAGTATTTTTAATCTTAACATGAAATTATTTTGCACTCGGAGCAGTCAACACTTTGACTCCTATATTCATGGAGAAATTTTATTGTCTACAAATGACTTAATGAATACTGAAAGCTTACAAAACTTCATGAAGATATATCAAACATATTAGAAGGTATAGTACTGAAACTGTAAAGGTCAGTTTGGAATCACAAAATCGGCTGATTCGACCGAGCAAATAGCGAGAGAGTTAATCATGCATACACACATCCCCTTCAGTGTGCTCTGGAGGATCAGTGAAATATGTCCTGCAATCCCTTGACTGCCCTTATGTCTCTCCCTTAC